AGGATATTGTAATTACTATATTGTGAAATTACTAGGTTGTGTATGTCACGACCCAAGTTCTCCTTCCGTGAACTGTCTTGACGGCACCGAGTCTCTACGACTAGGTAAGCCTAACAAATTGCAGAAAAAGGAAATAAAGTGCGAAACTGGCAAGTCACGATTTAAAGCATAATAAAAGATCTTGAAATGTCGCTCGGCATAAGTAATACAAACTCTCAAAACTAAAACAAACCTCCCAAAACCCGGAATCTCATAAAATCATAAGCTATGAAAAACTACATAGTGTTCTAACTCCCGAATGTCTAATCAAAAGTAAATACAGGAAGTCTAAAGCTAAAGGGAAGAATAGAGAGGGACTTCTAGATCTGCGGACGTAGCAGATATACCTCGAAGTCTCTAATGTCGCCCGCCTCACTGGTAGAACGGCTGAGCAGAAGAACCTGGATCTGCACAAGAAAGACATGTGCAGAAAAGGGCATGAGTACACCACAACAGTACCTAGTAAGTGCCAACCCTAACCTCGGTCGAGTAGTGATGAGGAAGGTCAGGGCCCTACTAGTTATATATTTTAAAGAAGGTAAAACAGTATGAAATGCGACAATATAATGAAAATACTAACAGTCGATAACGAATAAAATCACAGAAAGTATGTAACTCCGTACACAGAGATAGCAACTACCAGGATATCGTCCCGTAGTCCTAAACGTAAATGTGCAGGAGGATCTACCGGAATACCGATCCATAATCCCAAAGTAAATATCCAGTACAGGGGAATCTATCGGGCGTCATCCCGTCGTTCCAAATATAAATGTGCAGGGGGATCTACCGGAATACCGATGCGTAGTCTCAAAGTAAATACCAGTACGGAGGAATCTACCGGTGTCGTCCCATAATCCCAAATATAAATGTGCAGGGGGATCTACCGGAATACCGATCTGTATTCCCAAAGTAAACACACAACAGTCTCAAGAAAGAATTTACAGTTCTATTCAACTTCATACCAAGAAAAGTTGAAATTTCTATTCTAAACGTGCTGCACATAATACAAGTAAACAGTTTAAGCAGATAGTACAGTTAAGTCACTTAAGCATGCTCTTCTAAGCTAAACAGTAGGCTTTAAAATACAAGTAGCATTCAACAAAAAGGAAACACAGATATTTACTTAATGAAAACGGGGTTTTTTCAACAATTAGCACGTGTACGCACTCGTCACCTCATGTACACGGCATTCATATAACAGCAATACCAAATCCTAAGGGGAGTTCCCCCACACAAGGTTAGGCAAGCCACTTACCTCGAACCAGCTCAAAATCAATCCAAAACCACGCTCTTTCCACGAGTGTCCAACTCCGAGTGGCCCAAATCTAATCAAATAAATTTCATAACGTAAATATAAGTACAACCAATGAATTTAGCTAAAAGATTCGAAGCTAAGATAAGAAAATAGAAAAACGCACAAAAATCCTCTTCGGGCCCACGTCTCGGAATCGGGTAAAAAGTTACCAATTTAGAACACACATTCACTCACGAGAATACTCGTCCAAAAATTATCAAAATCCGACGCCAAAATCTCCCTCAAAACTCAGATTTTTAAGTTGGGGAACTTTTCCTCATTTCTCCCTATTTTTCACCCCAAATCCGAAATTAAATGACAAAACTAAGATTAGATTAATGTATTACAACCAAATTAGAGTTAGGATTCATTACCCAATCTTCCTTCTTCAAAATCTCTCCAGAAATCGCCCTCTACCGAACTCCAATTCGATTTTCCAACTTATGAACTCAAACCCTCGATTTTCTCTTTTTCTGCCCAGCGATTTCCGCATCTGCGAGAGGTTGACTGCACCTGCGGTCCCGCTCCTGCGGCTCCTACTCCGCACCTGCGGATTTTCATTAAACGGCCAGAAATCGCACCTGCAACCTTATACTCGCAGATGTTGTCCGCTTCTGCGGTCCTTGAGCCGCATCCGCGACCAGCTTCACTTGTGCCTCAGACCGCACCTGCGGTTCCCAAATCGCTTCTGCGGTGCCGCACCTACCATCCCATACACGCAGGTGCAGTTATGACAGGTTCAGCAACCTCAAATTTTGCCTAAGTCCGAATTCCAATCTGTTAAGCATCCGAAACTCACCCGAGGCCCCCGGGGCCTTAACCAAACATGCCAACAAATCCTAAAACATCATACGAACTAAGTCCAACCCTCACATCAAACAACGCTAAAACCGCGAATCACCCTCCAATCCAAACCTAAAGAACTTGAAATTTCAAGAATCCTACAACCGATGCCGAAACCAATCAAACCAAGTCTGATTGACCCCAAATTTTGCACACAAATCACATTCAACACTACGGAGCTATTCCAACTTTCGAAATCGGATTCCGACCCCGATATCAAAATCTCACTATCGATCCGAAAACTTCAAAAGTTCAACTTTCGGCATTTCAAGCCTAAATAAGATACGGACCTCCAAAACATAATCCGAACACACCGCTAAGCCCGAAATCACCCAACGGAGCTAACGGAATCGACAGAATTCCATTCCGAGACCGTCTTCACACTGCTCCGACTACGATCCAAGTTCTACAGATTAAACTCTCATTTAGGGACTAAGTGTCCCAAAACACTCTGAAACTCAAAATGAATCTTCCCAACAACTCAAAATAGTAGAAACAAACACAGGGAAAGCAGTTATTAGGGGATCGGGGCGTTAATTATTAAAATGAACAGTCGGCTCGTTACATCCTCCCCCTCTTAAAATCTTCGTCCGTCCTCGAACGAGCGTAGAGACATACCTGAAGAAGTGAAAAGATGAGGGTAACGGCTGCGCGTATCCTGATCGGTCTCCCAAGTCGCCTCCTCGACCGGCTGACCCCGCCACTGAACCTTCACTGATGCGATGTTCTTTGACCTCAGCTTTCGAACCTGCCTGTCCAATATCGCCACTGGCTCCTCAACATAAGATAGATCCTTGTCCAACTGGACTGAACTGAAATCCAACACGTGTGACGGATCGCCGTGATACTTCCGGAGCATCGAAACATGAAATACCGGGTGAACTCCTGCCAAGCTGGGAGGTAAGGCAACCTCATAAACAACCTCCCCAACACGTCGCAATACCTCAAAAGGACCAATTAACCTCGGACTCAATTTTCCCTTCTTCCCAAATCTCATAATGCCCTTCATAGGCAAAACCCGAAGCAAGACCCGCTCTCCAACCATATAGGAAACATCACGAACCTTCCGGTCCGCATAACTCTTCTGTCTGGACTGGGCTGTACGGAGTCTATCCTGAATCACCTTAACCTTATCTAAGGCATCCTGAACCAAGTTTGTGCCCAATAATCTAGCCTCACCCGGCTCAAACCAACCCATCGGGGATCTACACCGCCTTGGACTGATAACTGTTGTCGTAAGCAAACACCGCCAGTGGCAAGAACTGATCCCAAGAACCTCCAAACTCCATCACACACGCATGGAGCATATCCTCAAGAATCTGAATAGTGCGCTCGGACTATCCGTTTGTCTGGGGGTGAAATGTTGTGCTCAACTCCACCCGAGTACCCAACTCATATTGTACGGCCCTCCAAAACTGTGACGTGAACTGAGTACCTCTATCTGAAATGATGGAAACTGGAATAACATGCAGACGAACAATCTCCCGGATATAAATCTCCACCAACCGCTCCGAAGATTAGGTAGTACACACAGGAATGAAATGCGCGGACTTGGTCAGCCGATCCACAATCACCCAAATGGCATCGAACTTCCTCAAAGTCCGTGGGAGTCCAACTACAAAGTCCAAGGTGATCCGCTCCCACTTCCACTCTGGAATCATTATCTACTGAAGCAAACCACCCTGTCTCTGGTGCTTATACTTCACCTGCTGACAATTGAGGCACCGAGCTACAAACCCAACAATATCTTTCTTCAGCCGCCTCCACCAATAGTGTTGTCTCAAGACCTGGTACATCTTCGCAGCACCCGGATGGATGGAATACCGCGAACTATGGGCCTCCTCTAGAATCTACTCCCAAAGCCCATCAACATTGGGTACATATATCTGACCCTGCATCCTCAATACCCCGTCATCACCAATAGTCACATCTCTGGCATCACCATGCAGAACCTTATCCTTGAGAACAAGCAAATGAGGGTCATCATACTGACGCTCTCTGATACTATCAAACAAGGAAGACCGAGAAATCACACAAGCTAGAACTCGACTGGGCTCCGAAAGATCCAATCTCACAAACTGGTTGGCTAAGGCCTGAACATCCATTGCCATGGGCCTCTCCGCTGCTGGTAAATAAGCCAAACTTCCTGAACTCTGTGCTCGGCAACTCAAAGCATCGGCCACCACATTGGCCTTGCCCGGGTGATACAAGATAGTGATATCATAGTCCTTCAGCAGCTCTAACCACCTCCTCTGGCGCAAATTAAGGTCCTTCTGCTTGAATAGATGCTGCAAACTCCGGTGATCAGTATAAATCTCACAAGGAACACCATACAAATAATGACGCCAGATCTTCAAGGCGTGAACAATAGCAGCTAACTCGAGATCATGGACAGGATAATTCTTCTTATATACCTTCAACTGTCTGGATGTGTAGGCAATCACCCTACCGTCTTGCATCAATACCGCTCCAAGGCCAATCCTCGAGGCATCACAATAGATGGAATAAGACCCCGAACCTGTAGGAAATATCAATACTGGGGCTGTAGTCAAAGCTGTCTTGAGCTTCTGGAAGCTCTCCTCACACTCTTCCGTCCACTGGAACGGAGCACCCTTCTGGGTTAGCCTGGTCATAGGTGCTGCAATAGATGAAAATCCCTCAACAAATCGACGGTAATACCCACTAAACCAAGAAAGCTGCGGATCTCTATAGCTGAGGATGGTCTGGGCCAACTCTACATTGCTTCCACTTTCTTCGGATCTACCTTGATCCCTTCATTCGATACCACGTGACCCAAGAATGCCACGGAATCCAACCAAAACTCACACTTCGAGAACTTTGCATATAATTTCTTTTCTCTCAAAGTCTGAAACACTGTCCTCAGGTGCTGCTCATGATCTTCTCGACTCCGGGAGAATACTAGAATATCATCAATAAAGACAATGACGAACGAGTCAAGATATAGCCGGAACACACTGTGCATCAAATGCATGAAGGCTGCTGGGGCATTGGTCAGCCCAAATGACATAACAAGGAACTCGTAATGACCAGACCAAGTCCTGAAAGCAGCCTTCGGGATATCTGGCTCCCGAATCTTCAACTGATGGTAACCTGAACGCAAGTCATTCTTAGAAAACACTCGTGCACCCTGTAACTGGTCAAACAAATCATCAATAAGAGGCAAAGGATACAGGTTCTTCATTGTAACTTTGTTCAACTTGCAGTAATCAATGCACATACACATAGAACCGTCCTTTATCTTCACAAACAAGACAGGAGCACCCCAAGGTGATGCACTGGGCCGAATAAAACCCTTATCAAGCAATTCTTGTAACTGATCCTTCAACTGAGGAGGGGCCATACAATAAGGAGAATGGAAATGGGCTGAGTGCCCGGCACAAATCAATGCCGAAATCAATATCTCCGTCGGGCGGCATACCCGAAAGATCAGCTGGAAACACATCAAGGAAATCCCGTACTAGTAGGACCGAATCAACTGTAGGGGTATCAATACTGACATCTCTCACATAAGCTAGATACGCATCACACCCCTTCTCATCAATACTGACATCTCTCACATAACCTAGATACGCATCACACCCCTTCTCAACCATGAGCTTTAAGAAATGAAATAACTCTACTGGGAGTGTGATCTAAGGTACCCCTATACTCCACTCGCGTTACACCTGCCATAGCCAGCGTCACTGTTTTGGCGTGACAATCAAGAAAAGCAAAATGGGGCGACAACCAGTCCATGCCCAAGATAACATCAACATCTACCATGATGAGCAATATAAATCGGCTCTGGTCTCAAAACCACTAAGAGCAATCCAACACGACCGGTAAACGCGATCCACAACAAGAGAATCTTCCATAGGAGTAGAAACATAAACAGGAGAACTCAAAGAATCCCGAGATACGCCCAAATGCGGGGCAAAATAAGAGGACACATAAGAATAAGTGGAGCCTGTGTAGACATGTGATTTTTGACCCTCCCCAAGATTTTACATATTTTAGCATTTAAATATTTAGTTTAGATCTAATATAGCTATTTCAACTAGCTTTGACTCTTTTCCTTTATTTTATCACAAAAAATGAAAATTACAAAAATAGTTTCGTTAATGTTTTGTAGTCATACTATTTTACTAGGATTTTTATTTTTTATATAATCTTGAAAAAATACCAAAATAGTCTCACAATATAATACTGTCTATTTTAATTAATTAAGATTAGTCTTATATTTTTATGTTATAAATTGTATATAATTTTCAAAAGAAAGAGTTAGTTTTGGATTGATTTACTCAATTTTAATGAATTTTGTAATCTATTTTTAGTTTTTGGCCCAATTTTAAGGCCCAATAAAATCAAACTCATACTCCCTTAACCTAAAAAATCATATACATATACATTCTAGACTCCTAGACCTATACAGAGGAAGCATCAGCCGTGAATACACAAAAAACAAAAAATGGGAGCGGTTTCTATCTTCAGCACACCCCAACGTTCCCCTCATCTCCTTAATCAAGAGAGCTCTCATCTCTTTCAACAAAGCAGCGATCAGGCACCAACCAACGATCCCTGCTCTGAACAACCAAGAACAGCCGCGCCGCTGCTCTCCGCCACACCCACAGCCCCTTTCGCCTTGAACTCGCCGAAAACACACGCACATAGACAGAAATAGAGGACGAAACAGACGGAAAGATACAGAGGGGCGAATGTAGATGGATCTGGACAGAGTTTGGGAAACAAACAAAACTTAAAGCTTGGTCCTGGTTTTCAATCTTCCTTCTTCTGACTTATCACCTTAGCTCTTTGATGTAACTGAAAAGAAGAAGAAATAATTCAATTCTTTCCAATTTCTTTTTCACTTTAAGTCCGAAAATACTCAATATCTTTAGTCTCTTATTTGATTTTTGGGAATGGATCTCGCGTGAAGTTTAGAGTGGAGTTCGAGTTCGGGTCCGGTGAGATCCGTTCGAAGCTTCCGATTTGAGGTCAGTTTGAAGTCGTCGTTTGAGGTTTTCCGGTCGCTGGTTCTGTTTCTTCACTAAAATTCCGCGCTGGAAATTCTTGATTGTTGTGAAAGGAAATTTTCCTCATTAAGGTCTGTTTTTCTCTTAATTTTCATTCTGTTCTCATCTCATGAAGAGTGTTTGGCATGACTTGTGACTTCCCTTATTTTCTTACATTTATGGTGTGAGTTCAGCTTCTTTCAATCCGTTGAACAGTCAAATTTATAGAGAATGAGTTTTGTTCTAGTTTGAATGAATTGGAGTCCGATGATTTTTTGGTAGGTGCTTAAAATTGTTGACAATAGGAGAATTCTTTCCAATTCTTTGATTCTTTAAACAAGTGTGTATTTGTTGCTGATTGATCCCATTCTTTGTTGCATATAGAAATATATTATTATACAAATTTATAAGATCATCATATAGGACACACAGATATCACATTCTTTTGACTTTCTTTGGTATTGGATTCCTATTTTGTTTTTTATTTTTGGAATTTCACACAGTCGCATATGGACGCTGTTCTGCTTCTCTTTGAATCCTCTATAGAACTTTAGTGTTTAGCGAACTTGTATATTTCATTGTGAGAATATATAAATAGAAAGATAAGAGAGACAGAAACATAGAGAAGAAAAGGGGTGGGCGAGTTGGCGTTGAAGAAAAGGAAAGAAAAGATTGGAAGGGTGTGAAGTATGTTGGCGGATTGTTCTTCTACATTGTTGTCACGGAGTGAAGAGTGAAGCATCTGCACAATTTCAAGCTTGTAATTTCCCTTCAATGAGCACACAAGATTGGATTTGCCATGTAGTTTGGTAGAAAAGACAACCCAAGGTCCCAATCTATTAGGGGCGACTTAATCTATCATCGTGATTGTGTACACATTCGCGTAATATAATTATGATTTACAAAATAAATCGAGGTATGCGTTCACGCAACTTCGGCCAAACTTTCTTAATATTAATAAAGCGTGATTAATTGTGGACACGTACGCGTGACATGATTCTTGACGCGCCAAACGAAATGAGTACACGTACGCGTGACTCGTTTTAAGATAATTTCATAATCACGAATAATCGAATAATTAAAAAGCGGTAAGGGTAAAATGCACATAGGTTCTAAAGTACATAATTATATAATTTAATTAAGCCAAGTATGATTAAAGCGACCGTGCTAAAACTACGGAACCCGAGAATTCCTAACACCTTCTCCCGGGTTAACAGAATTCCTTACCCGGATTTCTGTGTTTCGCGGACTGTATAATAGAGTCAAACTTCCTCGATTCGGGATTTTAAACCGGTGACTTGGGACACCATAATTATCCCAAGTGACGACTCTGAATTTGATATAAATAACCCCGTTTCGATTGTCACTTAAATTGGAAACTCTCTTATACTCTCTTTCGGGGTAAAAAAGGAGGTGTGACAGCCTGGATCGAATAAAATCGATGCATCTCTATGACAAACCAGGACAATACCTATGATGATAGAATCGGAGGCGACAGCCTCGGTACAGGCAGGAAGGGCATAATATCTGGCTTGGCCTCTCCCTCTAGGGCGACCTCTACCTCCCTGACCTCCACCTCTAGCTGGCTGGGTAGGTGGGGTAGCTACTAGTGCTGTAACCATAGCCTGGGAACTCTATGGGGCACGCTGTGGCTGAGAAGCCTGTAGAGGCGCACCCCTCCTAAGTCTAGGGAAATCCCTCACCATATGGCGTGTGTCGTCATACTCAAAACAAGCTCTGGGAGGACGTGGCCGCTGTGACTGGCTCGGGCCAGGTCTGCTGGACTGACCACTAAAGGCACCCCGTGCAGGAGGCGCACTAGATACTATAGGTGTATAATAAGGCTCCTGAGGTCTAGGAGGAGCTGGAACACCACTGGCTGCTGGAAGAGCTGAATGAATGGGGCGACTCATATAACCCCTACCATGACGAACTGCAGATGGGGTACGGGCACCAGAATAATGGCCCGACTCTCTAGACCTCTTGGCCTCCCTCTCCTCTCTATCCCCAGCATGCATACCCTTTACTCTCTTAGCAATGCTTACCACCTGCTGATAAGAAATATCCATCTCCAACTCCCGAGCCATGCTAGACCTGATGCTGGGAATGAGCCCCTCAATAAACCGGCAAACTCTCTCACGAACTGTAGGAACCAAGGCTGGTGCATGCCTAGCCAAGTCAGTGAAACGGACAACATACTCCGAAACAATCATAGTACCCTGACGCAAATGCTCAAACTCCGCGCGACATGCGTCCCTGAGGCTTTGAGGAACATACTCCCTCAAAAACATATCTGAAAACTGGGTCCATGTAAGGGATGCTGCCTCAGCTGGACTGTCCAACTCAAAAGTACGCCACCACTGATAGGCTACTCCTCGAAGCTGGAACGCACTGAAAGAAACCCCACTCGATCCTGATATACCCATAGTGCGGAGGATACGGTAGCACTCCTCCAGAAATCCTAGAGCATCATCTGATGCTAGACCACTGAATACAGGAGGTTTGTACTTCTTAAACCTGTCAAGCCTCTACTGCTCATCATCTGAAGTTACTGCCCTGTCCTCGGGATGAACTAGGCTACAGGCGGTACGGTATAACCTCTGGGATCTTATCAACCTGGACCCGCTGCTCAGGAGTGCGGGTGCCGGGAGTCTGTGCTCCTCCCCCGGCCTGGGATATGGCTGCAGCAAGGGGAATCAACCATGCCTGAGCTAGAGTGGTGTACATGCTCACGAACTATGCAAAGGTCTCCTGAAGAGCTGGAATAGTAGTAGCAGTAGGCGTATCAAGTGCCTGAACTCCGGCTGGAGCTGCTGGTGGCTCCTCTGTGATAGCTCGCGCGGGTGCTCTAGTTGCACCACGTGCGCTTCCTTGGCCTCTACCCCGGCCCCGACCTCTGACGGCTCTAGCATGGGGCGCGGGTGCCTGGTCATCTCCGGTAGCACGTGTCCTCACCATCTGTGAGAGAATAGAAGACAGAAGTTTAGAATTTCGATATCAAAAATCTCGCACGACAAGGAAATCAAATGAAGTGGAATTTTCCTAACAGTTACATAGCCTCTCGTAGATAAGTACAGACGTCTCCGTACCGATCCGCGAGACTCTAATAAACCGGCTTGTGATTCATGACTCCTATGAACCTAGAGCTCTGATACCAACTTGTCACGACCCAAGTTCTCCCTCCTTGAACTGTCATGACGGCACCTAGTCTCTACGACTAGGTAAGCCTAAC